AACATTGTTGGTTATACCCTCGCGATATTTGGATTGGATTCGTTCGGCTATCGGAATAATGGAGACAATCGGCTACATTCTAGTCAAGTAATTTAAGGGAAAGGGGCCGATTGCTTTGAATGAATAAAAATAAGTAAACATAAAGCTGGTTAATCAAAGGAAGGAGGATATCACACTTAAGTTTATTACAAATCCAATGTCTAATGGTTCGGAAGATGATTGATTGCCTCTATGGGCCTCGAGTCTGATTCGGCTAACATTATCTAGCACTTTTGATCTTCATCTTGAGAACTCGGATCTTTGGATAACTTGGTTTTGATCTCTTTGATCTTCTTTGATGGTCGAAGCTATCTTTAGTGAAGTTTGTTTCTATGATCTTCGCAAATTAGTTATATGAGCCTGTGAGACTGAATTTTGGCATTGATTCGGCTAGTTGAGCTTCTAGTCTTTTTTTCATCCTCCATGGCTTTCGATTCGGGCTCCAAAGTTGCCAAGGAATTTCTCGTAGTTTGGATGTGAGAGTGAAGATCTTTAATCTCCGCTTTTTTCAAAGATCTATCCTACGCAGAGCGGTCCTCGAAGATATATTCTTGGTTGCCCTTCTCACCATAGCGAAGTGGTCATCAAGATGGGCCTGCAGATTCTAGGGGAGCCTTGAGAGCGGAGGGATATCTTGATCAATGAGTTCAAGGAGGTCTTTTATCCGGTCTGCATCCGCAACACGATCGGTGAAGGTATTCTTGTTTAGCGTAATTATCACCTCTTTTAGCGGGCCCTGATTTTCCAAATGATAAGGTTTGATGGGAAGTAATCTTTTCACCTTTCTCAATGATGTAATCCTCAATAGAGAAGGAGTAAGCGGTGGTCGGCTTAGTGATGTTCTTCTAAAGAAAAAGAAAAAGGAAGGTGTTAGCGGTTGGGTAATTTTGTTAAAATATAGTGTAAAACAAGAGATTACTGCTTTGAGTTGGTTGATCATCGAGGATGGGTTATACCACAGCTTCTGGGGAACTTAATTTGAAGATTCGGAGGGGATGAGTTTGGAGCTTGATCAGGAGAGGTTTCCTTGCGGTTCATCTAAGATTTCATCTATTTTCAAAGTGAAGTAGATGATAATGAGCATAAGAGAATAGATGTTATTAAAAGAAGAAAAAGAGAATTGGTTGAACAATGTTACCTATAGTCTCATCGGGTTTATGAGCCTTTGAACTTTCGACTTCATGAGTCACTTTGAAATTTTCGTTATCATGAATTTCTTCATCTTCAGTAGAAATTTCAGGGGTTGGTTCTGCAGGCGCTGAGGTATTGCCCAGTATGGGAATTTCGATTTGTGGCTGCAATATAGAGGTAGTCAGGCTTACTGCTAAGTGAGATTGTTGACACGATAAGGAAATAAAAGATTCATGCCTTAAGGGATGATCGACTTTCTTGGTCCTTGGTTTTTGGGTAAGAGAAAACTTTCGGTGTTTTCCTTTTGCTTTTTCCTCTCGAAGATGCAGCAGCTGAAGTAGCAGGAGTTCTCATGAGTGCCTTTAGAGGTGTTGAATCCAAAGTTGCAGGAGTTTTCATGAATTCCTTTAAGTTTGGAGCATCAAACCCTGTAGGCGGAGCTTGGGACCCACCCGAATAATCTTTGGATCGCTTTGGTTGGGGAGTAAACTCAAGATCTGTACATGACAGATGTTAAAATAAGAAGTGGATTCAAGAGCAAGAAATGATGGGCATAATGGAATTACCTCACTTTGTCGGAAGCAAAATCAAAGTTGCGAGGTTTTTGCATAAAGGATGAAGCGATATATTGAAGATATGAGCATGCCATTCTTGCCATCAAGAAACAAAGGAGGAATGAGCAACATCTATTAGCCCAAATGGAGATGGTTCATATATTGGCAATTCCCATCCTAATTCAAAGACCTTCTTGGCTTCCATTCCTTACGTGATTACTTTCCTTGACTTTATGATTGTTGAGAAGAGGAATTTTGGAGGCGAGTTGGCCACATCCTAATTGTCTCGCCACCATGTTTGGATAATAGAATTCATAGGTGGATTGTACTAATCTCCCATGATGAAATTCAGCTGGCAGAGTGCAAGGTTTGATGAAGGAGTTGAAAATCTCCGTGGATTCTTGGCTTTGAACAACCAATTTCATAGCTAAACTTGCGAGGGCAAAGTCGATTTTCATTTTCTCTGTAAAGGAAACCAGAGCACATTGCGAATCCTTTGAAAAATAGCTTGAAGAAATGACCGATGTCTATGTCAATGCTTATGGATGATCTTGCTTCCCCATAAGTCGACAAGCCTTGACCTTTTTTGTGTTGCCTTGAAGATAGTTAATCGAAGGAAAACTTAGATTGAAAAGGCTCACAGAGGTTATTTGATGCATATATAGCTGAAGCCACATTTGAATTAGCCACGGGGACCATTCACACAAGAGATTTCTCCACCTTGGCGCATCTCGAAGAGTAATCGATGCATCATATGGTAAAATGCAGACCCTAAGAGATATTTGCCTAGTGGGATACGAGTGCTCGTAGCTAAGTCTTTGACCATTACCATGTGGTTCGAGGTTGGTTCATTGGATTTTCCACGGAAGATGAATCTGCATAGCCACATATTCATGAAGGCTTTCAACTCTTTGTCGAGGCGGTGCAGATGCATTCATGTAGTTCGAATGTGTTTAACCCATCCACATCCGAGTAGCGGCTCTTTGATTACTTTTGCTTTTGTACTTATAAGGATATATTGGCAATGACACATTCAAGCCGGTCATCATGAATACGTCGGCTAGAGTGATGGTCATAATACCATGACCAAAGATGAAGGCATTGATAGTGTCGGACCAAAAATGAGAAGTTTGCTATCAAAAGGGAATCGTTCACGGTGTCTCGCTAAAGATAATTCCGGACAATGACCGATGTCCCGACTTTCCCCAATGGGCTGCTTTGCTTTTCTCAAGCATTCTCGCATGCCGATTCGCCATCCGGTGATTGGGGAAATGGCCAATTCTTGAACGTGTTTGGCCATCGGTTTGACGAGGTGATCCCGGACTTGAAAGGAATTCTTTGGGTTTCCTTCTCAATAATTTCGGAAGGGTCGGGATTTCCCATTGGGCCGAGGAAATAGGAGTCGGGGTTGGCGACATAGGGAATCGGAAAGGTGGCTCTTGTATTCCTTTAGAAGATGATTGAAATCAAAGGGAGTAAATCAAAAGAGGGCGGGAGGATGAAATGAAAGTTGCGAATATGAGTAAAGTTTACCTCTGGGATTTCATCACAGGTCGCCATTGAAGATTTGAAGGAGGTCCGAGGTTGCTATTTGAAAGCTTGAATTTTTGGGCAGCGTGTTGCGGTTTTGAACGGTGATGACCTAGGAGGATGAAAGAGCTTGTGCTCAATTTTGAGAATAAAACAACTTTTATCCCGAAATTGAGGGGGCATGTGTTAACACTTTGGATTTTGGTCGATTCGGAAGATGGTGGACCCACATGCGGGAAGAAGGGTATTCGGCAAACAAAGCAAGCGGTCGGCTAAATGCATTGCGGTCGGTTACTCCGTATAGGCGGTGACTCCATTCGGGAATAACGAGAAGATGGCGAGCAAGACCGATCGAAAAGGGAAAGTTGTGATAGTAAAGGACTCTAAAAGTTTAGGGTAAGGAGTCGTGAGTTTCCAAGTTTATTTAAAGATTCCTTTGTAAATCGTAGTCCTCTAGGACTCGTGTTTTGTCTAGGGTATAAATATTGACCCTCGACCATTGTAATAGAGGTTCACAACCAAATCAATACACCCGGCCCGTGCCAACTTTCGAGTCCTTTTTTGTCGTGTCGTCGAGTTCTTGAGAGGAGTCATCGATCCGTCGACCTCCGTAAGTTCCGACAACCTTGTTATCATGTTTAGTATCATGCGGTGGATTTAAGCGTGATGCAAGTAGTCTTGTTTGTTTTTCAATGATCGTGCGGCGGATCTTTGCTTAACAATCAAGAAGTCTTTGCTTATGCTTCGTTTATGAGTAGATACCATGCGGCGGTGTTTGCTCGATATGCTTAGTAAAAGCAAGATAGTTACTGGCTCTATTAGATATGGCAAAATCTAAATAGATTCATTAAGTTATCCGAGTGTTGCATGTTTTAAATATTTTATATATTTGTAACACACTTCGCCCAATCTAGATCGAATATTGTTCGCCCTCTCTTATGGTTTTATTCGCGCTTCAATGATCATTATTTTCATTATTACCTTCGCAAATAGACAATACACGCGTAATGGCTGAATTATTTTAATCTAGATTGTCACATGTTGCGGATTCATGCATGATAATTACGTTTAAGCCTTGAGCGGAACTAGGTGTCGTATGACGTGATGCGAGTTTTAGATTGGTTTAATCGTGCTTATTTGCACGTTCCTTCTTCATGGATCCCCAACTTCGGTCGGATGGTTGAGCTTGGCTATGCATTAATTCATAATTAATTTCACTTGTTCAAACATGTCTTCTCATGTACATGTGTTCGGCAATTAGGCCTTTACGTGCATTCATCTTACGATTAGCGAATGGTTTATAAACTTGTGGCGCACACAGCTCTTTATAGCTGTATGTCGTTGTAAGTGGCTTCAGGGCCGTATATGAGGAACTGTCTGGTATTACCCGACATGTTCCGGTTTGACATTTAATTGTTCTATCCCTTGTTAGTTTTTTCAGGTCAAACTGACTGGCACGCTTCCGGATAACAAAGCACCCGGGAACCCGATTGAAGCTACGCTTTTCAGCTTGCTGTGTGTGAGGCACAGTGCGTCACATTTTGTGTCAACAACCTCCAATAGATTATAGTCGCTTTGATCAGATTGCATATGAAGATTCTGATGCTGAAGTAGCAGACAAGGTTGCACTTTATTTACTATTCCATCCTTATTTCTTCACCAGTTACCTGAATTTTATCATGATGTTAATGCCTCGCACAATATTGCTCAACTCTATGGATAGGGTGTAAGTTCAGTGAAACATAGACAACAATTCCCTAAAGGAGTACTTCGAGGATGTCCAGAATGTGCCGATTGTCAAAAGGTTTGTGTAATTCTGAAAATTGATGGATAGCCTCCACAAAGGTGTTGTTGTGTTGCTTATATCACATCACATCATGCAGGTTATTGCAAGATGGAATCTATCTGGTGCACGTAGGCCTGTTCTTGATGAGGCTCCTGTTTAGTGTTTACTATCCTACCGAGGAGGTTTGTTGCCACATTGTATTGTATCAGTACTTCCACTGCACTGAATTTGTTTTTGCATGCACTAATCTTACGATATCTTCTTATGGATCAGGAATTCCAGGACACCTTAAAATACATTGAGAGTATCCGCCCAACAGCAGAACCATATGGGATATGCCGTATTGTTCCACCAGCTTCATGGAAGCCTCCATGCCTTCTTAAAGAGAGAAACATTTGGGAATGCTCAAAATTTTCTACTCGGGTACAGAAGGTTGACAAGCTCCAAAATCGTAAATCGTCCAAGAATAGCAGAAGAGGTGGAATGATGAAGAAGCGTAGAAAGGTTTCAGAGACTGAAGAAATCAATCACAATCAAATTGGAATGCAGCAAAACCAAGAGAGATTTGGATTTGAACCAGGACAAGAGTTCACACTACAGATGTTTCAGAAGTATGCAGATGACTTCAGTGATCAGTATTTTACGAAAGATAAATGCAGAGATTCACCACCGTCAGTGGAAGATATCAAAGGCGAGTATTGGCGCATAGTTGAAAGGCCGACAGAAGAGATAGAGGTATCAAAAACTTAGCAAAGAGTATCTATGCCCATTGCAATTTAAGCTTTTGAAAATGCAATTGTGTTAGTCCTGGATTTTTGACATTTTCCAATAATGGCCCTGTTAGAGAATTTCTTGTTTAGTTTGGGTCGGTGGCCACTCGTGGCTTGCCACGTGGCGCTGGGGCCGTGTGTCATAGGCTCAGGGAAAACACAGATCAAAGGAAGCACGGCCGCGCAGATTCCCGGGGCCAGGGCGTGGACGTGGCACAGCCAGTGGCCTTGCGCCACGTGGCCGCAGGGTCCATTTGTCTGTATCTATGAGTAGGTTTACATCTGGTGCGGAGCACGGCGGGCAGAAAGTCCACCTATGTCTCCATTGTCCTATCCAAAATTATCATCTTGGGACAAAAAATATATTAGAGACAAAATTTCAGTAAATTTTTTTCGCCCATCCATTTTTTTTATAATAGATTTAGAATAGCTACGAATCCAAATCCAAACTCTACGATATCAAACAAGCTGAATAGGAATCCTAATCTCTATCTAACATCTCTATCTATCTATACATAATATTAAGCCTACGATCCTGACTAAACTGATAAGGAATCATAGTCCAAATAAATCTATATCTGGCTATATGTCTTATTATAATCTATCTTTCCTTTCTATCGCGTTCTCTTTTCTTTCAATTCTGTTTTCACACGGCCCAAAAACTCCAGTGCGTCCTGCATCCTCAAATTCCCGTCGGTTACTGAATAGCATTGATGCTGCTGATGTTTCAGGGTCTGTTTGGTTTTTACAGGACCTTCTAAAATTCCTGTCGTATCGAATATTTAGACACATGCATAGAGTATTAAATATAAACTAATTACACAACTTGCGACTAATTTACGAGACGAATCTTTTTAAACCTAATTAGTCCATAATTTGACAACGTGGTACTACAGTAAACATATGCTAATGATAGATTAATTAGCCTTAAAAATTCGTCTCGCAAATTAGCCTCTATCTATGTAATTGATTTTGTAATTAATCTATATTTAATGCTTCTTATTAGTATCTAAATATTCGATGTGACATAAATTTTATGAACCGCTGATGTTTCAATCTCATATGCTGTTAACACACAGATTTCTGAGCAGTGGATGGATAGTACCACTTTATGAGAAAGAGGTCGCTGAAAGAGACAGTGCACTGAAGTCGGACAGTGCACTGAAGTCGTCTGAAAACCAGATGCTTGGGTTCCTTTCTCTCACGTCAGGCCATCATATTGGCATGTCTGGATTTTGTAGAGGCTGCCAAGAGGTGGCCCATGTCACGGATAAGACTGAGTACGTCATCAAATAACTTAGGGACTAAAGATGTGCTAATGCCTTCTTGAAGTTCAAATTCTTCTGTTTATATACCCCCAGGGTATAGATGGGCAACGGGCCGGCCCGGCCCGGCCCGGCACGGGCCCGTGCCAGGCATGGCCCGATTGGGGTCGGCCCTGCACGGCGCGCTGTGCCCCCCCGGGTCGTGCCTTATAGGCCCACGGGCCTGCCCAGTGGCCTAGGCACGGTACTATAGGCCGTTTTTTGGGCCGGGCCAGCCCGTGAAGCACAGTGAAAAATAGCAGGCCGTGCGGGTCCGCGGCCCACTACGCAGTAGATCTGAAGATAGAGAGGGGAAGCGGCGAGGAGCAGAGCGGAGAAGGGGAGGAGAGTCGCGCGCGCCCTACCTCCCGACCGACGAGCAGTCGCTAGGGGCCCCGAGCCCGTGGCGGCGCACCTGACCGGTGGAGTGGAGTAGGTGAGGAGCCTAGCGAGGTAGCGATCGGGCGCACCCAAGGCTGGCGCGCTCGCTCCCATGGGCCGGTCCAAGCCAGCCGTGGCAGGCGGCGGCACATCCCACGAGCCACGGCGAGAGCTGAGAGAAGGAAAGGGAAGGACGAAGGAGGAGCGAGTGTGCGACTCCCCTGCGAGTGCGGGTGCGGCGCATCCACGCGGGGGAGCGAGAGCGGGGAGGAGGCGAGGAGCCGAGTGCGCGGCGTGGGGGAAGGGGGGTCCGGGGAGGAGGCGTTGTGGCTTATGGCCTTTTGCGGGAGCAGGCCGAGGTGCCTCAGTGCCTGGGTGCTGGGCTATGGCCTGTGGGCTGTTGGCCTACTGCTGCTCGGGCCTTCCTCACCGGGCCTATACCGAGCCTCTTGCCATTTACCGAGCTAGGTCGTGCCGCCCACCTTGCCTGAGAAGCGGCCCAGGCACGGTCCTGTGCATCAGGTCGTGATAACCTGGGCCTGTTGGCCACCGGGCCGTGTCGTGCTTGGGCCAGGCAAAAAAAAGGGCCCCGGGCCGGGCTGACGGACTCGGGCTGCATGCCCATATATATACCCCAGGGGACCATATTTTTAATATAACTCGAAAATTGTGTAAGTTTTCTTTTAATCAAACTGTAACTGCGTTTGTCAATTATTCAGCTAAAATTTGTGCTTGATACTTGGAACTTGTATTTCTGCAGCAAGCCACTTGTTCGATTATTATATATATAATAAAACAACTAAAACTTCAAAGATTGGTGGTCATCTCTATCATTTGTATAATTCGAAACTTCAAATACATAGAAAAGTGGCCCACCCGTCAGCATTTTTAATTTTTTTTCTTCTTCCTTTCTTTTTTCAAGTGCCTCTCTCAAATCACGCATCCCACGCCAAGCGGGCTGGGATTTGAGCCCCCTGCCTTCGCGACCTCATACGCACACGCCATGCCTCTGCCCCCTGTAAATCACCGCCATTTACTTGCATGCACACATGTGCTTGGGCCGTCCATAGACGCCCACGATCGCCGGACTCCTCTTCTTCTGGCCCAAAATCGCGTCGCGCCTTTGCCATCACCCATCCTATCCCTGAAACCAAACACTACCTAACACATCTCCGAGTAGAACAAGAAGCTGTACCCGCTTGCTCTTCTTCGCCCCATTAAATTAGAGCCTTTTCTCTGTGTACCATTAAAAAAGATAGTATTTTTCTACATGCCACTAAAAAGTTCGGACTTACCTAGGTGCCATGACACTTTATTTCTTTGCCCCCCAAGCCATTCCGTCCATTTTCATTTGGTAACGTGTGTAATGGCGAGGAGAAAAGACGAAGTGCCCTCGGCCTAGGGAGGATGAGTGAATTGCTTTATTTGCCACATGTGCCACTCCCTGGCAAAGCGTTTGAGCGCCAAGACGGCACCCTGATGAGCACAAGATCGATGATGTTGAGATTGATGCCGAGGTCATTCTTCACGATCGCCAGGCAACGGTACGCGGTGGCCGTGTGGAAGAAGATGATCGGTTGGTGACCGGGATGTGGCTCCGCCCTTGGCCGTCGAGCTCACACGACGGATCGGCACCTCTGTTCGGGTTAGGGCTGCGGCTCGATCACAACCATGGCGAGATGAGATTGAGAAGAAGATGCAAAACAATCACTAATAGAGACTTTGTTTCTAGAAAGTGGAACAAGCAGAAATGGAGATCCTGTTGTTTACTACCCGACTCAGAGCGAGACTCAAAGGGAAAAGGGTCCGCAGAGCAGCCGCTGAAATTGGCTCTCCTCTCGCGGACCAAATGAGTTGAACTGCATGCACGCACGAACTCAAGCGCATACATGAGAAACTTGAGAAAAGAAATCGATCACATTCATTCGATGAGCGTGCAGAGGGAAAGGGAAGGACTCACGTTGGTGGTGGCGCAGCCGTGTACTCCGGTCGCCGAGGTACGTGTAGGGCGTGCGAGTCTATGATGGCGGCGAACTCGCGCAGCCCACCGACCTGGTCTCGACGTTGATGGACGTGAAGCTCACGTTAAAGTGTGCTCCGGTCGGTGAAAGGCGTCTCGCCACAGCCACGGCCGCCGGCGTCGCCGAAGTTGATGCGGCCGAGCGCCGTCGTCGCCGGCACATGGAGAAGCCGTTTGCCGCGACGAGACGAGAGGCCGGCGGCGAAAGCACGCCTGGCACGGACACCTTGTCCTCGCCGAGCCCCATCAGCCGTCGAAGGCGCCGCCGTCCGTGAAATAGCCCGTCTCGCACCGCCCGCACGAACACGACGGCCTCCCAGCGTGGCGGCGGGCGCCGGCGCCCGGGTGAGGTGGAGCACGTCCCGCACCAAAGACACCCGGAGGTGGAGGTGTTGGCGGACACGCATCTTGGACCCTCGTGACGGCATTGCCGTTGGTCGCGGCGAGCGGCGTTGGGACGGTCGCCGCAGTACGTTGTCGCACGTCACCGCTTGTTTTCGTCGATGACCCCATGAAATTTGTAGAAGCAGAGCAGCGTCGCGGCCCGCCCGGTGACGTTGGCGGCGGACGCGCACCGACCGCGATCGACGGCACCCGGAAGAGGTTGTTGCCGGTTTAGGTTTGCCGCCGGTTTAGTTTGCCGTCGCGCTCAAACGCTTGGTCAGGGAGTGGCACACAGGGTAAACAGCAATTTCACTCATCCTCCCTAGACTGAGGGCACTTCGGTCTTTTCTCATCGTCGTTACACACCGTTACCAGCGAAAATGGATGGAATGGCTTGAGGGACAAAGAAATAAAGTGTCATGGCATCTAGATAAGTCCGAACTTTTTAGAAGGCCATTTTTTTTTATAGTACACAGGGAAAAGGCTCGTTAAATTACAGAGAGAGACCCTTTCATAAAAAAAAAAACAGAGAGAGAAACAACGGCGAAAAAATGGTCGATGCCGGCGACGACACACCGGCCGGAGCGCCGCCGCGAGCTCACGAGGAGGAGCAGGCGGGAACTCCGGCGTACGGTTCGGTGGTCCTCGGCGGCACCTTCGACCGCCTCCACGACGGCCACCGCCGCCTTCTCAAGGTGCTGCCAAAAATTAAAAAAAAAGGCACATAACTTTTGTTCCTCCTGAGTCCTGACTGTTGGGATTGAATCTTGCTTTCTTCGGGGTATCGGGGAATTGGTGGGCGGTAGGCCTCCGCGGATTTGGCGAGGGACCGGATCGTGGTGGGCGTCTGCACGGGACCTATGCTCGCCAAGAAGGAGGCAGGCATCTCGGCTTTGCCCAAAGATTGAGCTTTTTTCCTCTGAACATTATGCCGTCGATTACTGGACCTTGTGATGATTCACGGTCGGTTTCTTGATTCTACTGGTGCAGTATGCGGAGCTGATTGAGCCCGTCGACAAGCGCATAAAGGGCGTGGAGGATTACATTAAGGTTGTGGTCTGGTTATGTTTACCCTGTTTTCTTGTTCTGTGCGATTTCTGCTGCTAAGGAATTAGAAGGATTTGGGGATGGGTGCCAGGCCTGTTTTATATATGCAGAGGAGAAGGTGCATAAGCATCAAGTTGTAGTTGTTTTGATACGGAAATTCGTCAGTTTTGCGGATGAAATAGAAGTAGGTTATTACTGTTATGTGGCTGGAGATTTGTTCCTATTTATCTGTCTAAGAAAAGTTGTTAAGCATGGTGTACTTTGGATGGAGTTTCTGGAATGGAAATTAGCCCCCGTGTTTTCAATTTTGGAGATACATGGCTTTGAATGTGTAGTGGTTATCAGTCCCATATCTCCAGTTTTGTATGTTCTTGCATGGTTCTGCATTGGGTAATAGGGGGAAGGAACTACAAAGAATAATATGCCTATGTGTTTGTGTATCTGTGTTTTGTCTACCATTTCATGTGTTGACAATAATCCGTGATTGGTCTGTTGTCATATGCAGTCTATAAAGCCAGAACTGATAGTACAAGTGGAGCCTATTGAGGATCCTTATGGCCCATCCATCACTGATGAAAAGTTGGATGCTATTATTGTCAGGTATCAACAATAGCGCCATCCCCTTTTTCAAGCATTTAGCTGTTCATACCTATTACATTTGTTCTTCATGTGCGTATGAGTATATTACCTTACCAAAATGTAGAAAGTCATTACTCTACCCATTTCAAAACCATACTAATGGTATCTTAAGTAGCTCATAATATTGGACTTTGAAATATGTGGTCTCCTAATATGTAAACAGTTCATGTTCATTTTTAAGCTTCTCTTTCTACTGGACTTCATTTGACATAGAAATGCTGCTTATATTCAGTAAGGAGACATTAAATGGTGGACTTGCTGTAAATAGAAAAAGAGAAGAGAAAGGGCTCTCACTGTTGAAGGTTCATTTGTGCTTGCTTCTATATTTCATTCAATTGATTTTATTCTACTACTTGGTGTACTATGCAACTGATTCAAATGTGGATGACCTAAATTTCAGGTTGAGGTTGTTGATCTCCTTTCTGGTGGTGTGGAGGGGGAAAAATTGAGCTCTTCTGCTTTAAGGAAACTTGAGGCCGAGCAAGCTCAACAAAGTGAAACAAAAACTGCTAGCCTTGAAGTTTCTTAGGGAGGAAAAAGGAATACTTGAATCTGGTTAGCTGAATGCACAAATACGGGGGTGATCTGTCCAAGCTCGTGAACAAAAATGTGATTAGAGCTGATGGTTTGGTTGCCTGTCTGGAGGAATAATCTTTGAACACTGGCCCATGGCCCTGTAACAGTATCATTCTAACCTTATAAAATCAACCTGCAACATAGACTCTCCCCTACTAACCAAATTTACAGATTTTGTATTGGCAATGCCATCTGAATGTAAAAAGGAAATCTCCTTGGGTTTGTATAAATGTCTACAATAGTGGCAAAGCTACAAATAAACATGGTTCTCCTTCACAAGAACTCATGCAATATAGCTTGTCATTATAATCTTGGTCCTCTTGGCACATTTGTATATGCGCATTGGTTGAACAGAGACTTTGGGTTCTCCATGAATGTAGAATCAGGAAACTGAACATAACTTGTAAGGGTACAGATTTTTTTTGTTAGGTGATTAAGATTATGAAAATTCAAACCATGCCCTATAACCCTGTTGTTTTGAATAATTGGTGAATATAGCCTAGTGTACTAATCTCTTACTAAATCTATAAATTTATCCTCTGTGGAGATAAGCAGTATGGTCCTAGCGACCATTGAATTTTGAACAACTGAAAATATGGATAATCCAAATGATGTTGGAATTTATTTTAGTAAGAATTGTCTAAAGAATATATACAAATTAAAAACCATATGGACCTTAAGAGAGAATGAAAGAGTATGACCTTAAGACTTAAGAGAAAGAAAGAAAGAAAGAAAGAAAGAGAGTGTTTCCAATGACCTACATAAAGAAAGAAAGAGTGTAGTGTTTCCAATGACCTAGATGTGGTATTTGGATATTCTCAAAAAAAAAAAAAAAGATGTGGTATTTGGATGGGATCTGCAAAATCAATGCAAGATAACAAGTGGCTAATTCCCCATATATACATCAATGTGGCCTGATGGATTAGTAGTTTAGTACTATTAGAGTCGTGAAGTACTGGTACCATCAAAGTACTTTGTCGCAGCACGCAAGAAATCTCACATGATACAGAGAGATGCTTGTTAACATGGCTGCTGCTAGGTCTCAAGTTTCTGTGGTCTGAAATTGGGTCATTGAGAGCTATTGTGATCAAGGCCAGGAGTTGGCCACCTTTCTCACCTCACAAGTGCACTGATATGTGACTTCTATATATTTCCTTGCAGATGTATCAAGAAACCTCACAAAGATTTCTGTAGGAGTTATCTTAACTCGTGTCCCATTAGTGTTTTTTTTTTGTTATGTCAAATTATGGTTGCAGCCTTATCTTGCTCTATTTGATCCGAGTTTGCATTCAGAGATCAAGAAATGGCTTCTTCCTCAACATTTAGAAACCATTGGGTTAGGGTTCTTGGGTCCTCCCCGATTGGTTTGAATACTTTGAGAAAATAGTAGCAGTGTGAGATCAGGTGCAAAGTATGTGGCACTGAAGTGTGCAGTCAGTATCACAGCCTAGGTTCATACAGCACAGAAAGGAGGCCTTCTGGTTCTACAGTATGTCTCCATAGTGTATGGTATGACCATGTCACAAACCCGGGGCATTGGACTGACGACAAGAGGTGCAACACACTGGAGCCTGCTGAAGTGCTGAACTCTGACCACGGGCTCAACACACTGGTGCACAGCCATAATGTCACCCCTGCTGCCCTGCTGGAGAAGGCCACTTCCGAAACCAACACATTTTGATCTCTAACTCGTGGAAGCAGACTTTACAGGCTCCATCACAACAACGAACAACTCGGACGTTCTAAACGACTTTGGGTTTCTGCAGCCCTGTCTATCATTCTCAATCAGATGAACAGACGAAGTATCCCTAGCATGAGCATCCAGCGATTCACAATATTCCCAGCTGGTATCTCCTGCATTCCCAAGTGTGTCATCACCTGCGTCAACATTTCTTTGACTAAGTGAGAACTTCGTCTTTCATTCTCCAAATAGTGAAATAGGCGATGACTGTCCTTTGTCTGTCAGACCTGCTGCTGAAATTATGACACATGTTTACTGACATTAATATTTGTCCTCGGGATAGCTTAATGCATTCCTATCCAAAAATAAAGAAGAATTTAACGGCAATAGATATATAAATTATGTTTCCCCATCCCTAAGTTGAATGTCATAGATACCCCATTTACAATTTGGAAATACTAATGTGGTGTTATTATCCAGCACCCAGCAGAGAGTATTGGCGTGAAACCCGGTGGTGTTGGTGTTGCCGGTTTGACTGACCCAGTTTCACCCAACCTTGGATCGCACCAATTCTTCGGTGATATGTGGATGCTGCTCCCCAAGGAGGAAGAATACAGGGAGTGGTTCCACGGAGCAGCGTTCGACGACGTCAGGCTCCAGAGGATCGGACTACCCAAGCGGTTCAGCAACTGAGGCATCAACAGAGCATTGCTGGTACCTGTTGCTCGTTGCAGTTCAGAGCTCAGTCCCCCCAAAGGGTTGCCTCTGAGTGGTCGGTGAAACGGTGGTCAAAGAGATTTATACCCAGAGAAGCAGCTATTGAAGTGCCTGAACCGTGACTTGGAACTCTTGGTGGGTTTTTTTAGCCTACCCCAACTTGTTTGGGACTGAAAGGCTATGTTGTTGTTGTTGCTACGTAAGCTCCGGTTGGAGCATTATAATGTTTACAGAGATTTCTTGGGATACATTTCAATCCCCGACAACTGAGGACGCATGATTCTTTTTTTTTTTTTTTTTTGAACATGGAGGACGCAAGATTCTGGCTCTAACCCAACTGGAACATAGCCTGTTAAAAGGAACACACCATATAAATATTGGACAGAACTAACGGCAGCAGCCTACATACACCACATGTGCATATCGGAACTGGACAGCACCTTACCCAAACAAAAGCATGACAAGATAACATGGCACGACATGCAGGTTGGCACTGTCACATTTCAGCGTCACTGACAGCGTACAAGACCTGAGCAAAAGAAAAGTTCCTACTGACCATACCACGAATTCCCAAATTTACAAGACTTGACCAAAAGAAAACCTCCTGCTGACCAGACCACGACTTCCCGAATTCAGTTATCTAACTAGCAGCCAAGAACCCAAGCTGCAATCCCCAGTGCAGACACCACTCGTGCTTTGGACCACACACAGTTTGAAAACACCCACTAACAACACTCCCTGAAAGTTGTCGATGAGCAGTTGCCGCCTTGTGAACTGCCAGTGCACACTCCCTTTAGTTGCTACCTTGCTTCAATATATACAATAGCCACCTCACTTTAGCCAAAATGCCCCCTACTGCGGCCCTTTTGCCTGAGTATGCTCCACGATCTTGTGCGCGTGATCAGGCACCTCTGTTTCAGTCTGTTTCTGAGCCGCCGAGTGCCGAGGCAGCATCATCAGTAGTTACAGCAGAAATGCTGGACTGCTCAGACAACTCAGAAACGTCCTCATCTTCACTCAGTTCCAAAAGTTCAAGCTCTAGTCGATCCAAACACGCCATCGATGCTTCAAAAGCCTGGTCACTCCTGGAACCAGACTTTGCAAACTTCATCGCAACAATGAACAACTCTGACGTTCTAAAGGACTTCGAGTTTTCTGCAGCCCTATCATTCTCAATCAGATGAACAGGCACAGTATCCCTAGCATCCATCGTCCAGCACTTCACAATATTCCCAGCTGGTATCTCCTGCATTCCCAGCTGGCAAGATGTGTTTCAGGACCTATTACCTTCCTGCTCCTATTCTCCTCAGAGCTTTCCTTTGAGTTGAGATCAGATTGGAGCTTGTTGTAGTGTCGCACGAACATATTGATAGATCTATTCAGTGGCACCATCTGTGAATTGTTTCCGGTAACTCCTCCTGGATTGCCACCTCCATTTCATGGCACCGGTCTACATTTAGCACAATCCACGGATTTGATATCAGTTGGAAAATTGTGATAGCATTAAACCATGAACTGAAAGCATTATCAAGTTTGGAAATAAAACATGTACCTGTGAGAATAGTACTTGGAGCTTTACCACCCATTAATATAACAAACTCACAGAACAGCCATTTGAAACTTTCCACAGTCTTGCGTCGCATCAGCGCTCCTCCTAGTATGATACTTTGATGGTGGTTATTAACACCAACAAACAAGCCGAAAGGTATGCCGTACAGGTTAGTCCTGTACGTCGTATCAAATGTTATAGTATCACCGAAATGTGCATATTGCATTCTGCTGTGCCCATTAGTCCATAACACTGTATTAAACTGGTCCTCGATGTCATCCAACTCAATACGGAACATGAAGCTTGGGTCATCCCTCCTCAACGAACCAAAGTCATCAAACAACTCAATTGTCTTGTCGGGGTCAATGTCTGATAGATCCGATGATATATTCTTACACAATGACTTCAAATCCCCCTTCACGAACTTATAATTCTCCATGCCCCAAAAGTATTCATAAATGCTGTGGCATTTCTTACTGAGATCAACATGATCATCCCTAAGACGGCGGACTAGATTCTTAGGGCTTGAGGTGGTTGTGAGAAGGCCAACAGAAATGTTCACTGCATATCCCAGAGAGGGGATGATTGTGATCACCTCGAAATTCCTGAATGTACCAACGATTGTCATCGGACCTGTGTAGCCGGATCATAGCCTTGCAATCAGTTTGCGCAGAGCCAGTGTTGGACAGCTCTGGTTTGCCCTAAAACAGACACGGCAAATTTTCATAATTAAGCCACATTGCATATCCTGGAATTGAAATACTGAATTATACAGAGTTACAAACACACAAGAAGAACATCTCCTCACCTCGCAGCTGCAGACTATGTCTTGACTCACAACACTTTTACCCACAGTCATATTGCACCGTATTCCAAAACCTAGCTCCCAGGAATGCAAGTTGTAAAACTCATATACCTCAGCACGGGAGTCAAAAAACATGCCAACTGATGGACTAATAACAATGATGGACATCCTGTCGACATAATCTTTCAGCGATTGCTCATAAGCACTAACACCGCCACGTTTTGACGCCCTTTCAGGTGGAACAGAACCCTGGCGAAACCTACCAGAGACAAAATGCAAGGCGACACATTCACGGTTGTTAAACACATGGTGCACGTTGTGCAAAATTGCAAAACCCCTGACAATAAACCCTAACGAGCCAATAGCAACGCAACAGCACGGGAATATATCTACCAAATTGGATCAACAATCAGCCGTCGTATTCGTATGTCCCAAATTCGTCGACCCGACGCCCAATCCCTAATCACAAATGGGTAGGAAGAGCACAGGGTTCTGACCTCCTCGCCCCGCCGCTGCCTGGGTCGCCGCCGACCACGGCTCGTCCGCCCGCGGGACCTCCCTCCCGCGCGGCCTCCGCGCCCGCGCTTCCGCTCCCCCGAAGTCGAACGCCTGGCGGGCGGCGCAAGGCCACGCCTCGGCCACGGCTGCGACGCTCGACCCTGCCACGAAACGCATTTCCAATCAGGGTCCAGCATTGGGCCGCGGCTTCACGAGACCACGGTAGAGCAGGGAGCCGCCGCAAGTACCTCTCCCCGTGGCCGCCGCGGCCGCCGCCCGCGCCCGGAGCGCCCGCCATCTCCGCCGCCGCCTCCGTTTCCCGCTCCAAGCGCAGCCTCCCGACTCGCGAGTTGTGTAGCGGCATGGGATGCCTGCCTGCCTGCCTTGCCTTGGTCCGTTCCGTTTGAAAATAGTGGACGGTGCCACGTTCTACCGTAACTGCAAGTCTGGGACATTTCCCACCGTAACCGCGGCCGCAAGTTCAGGCCCACTAGTGTCGTGCGTGCGTCTCGGCCAATCGGCCCACTCAGTCCACTCGCGAATGCTAACCGCCCGGAGATGGCGCCACCGAAATTACATTACATACAGTCTAAAAAAAGAAATTACATTACATACCATTTTTTTAAGAAAGACACTCAAAAGAGCGGCGATAGCCTGTACAAAATGACAACTTGACACAAAATAATCTCTCAAAAAATACATCGAAGATCAAACCAGTCATCTTCATCCTTTGGTCGGTCATTGCCGGTCGAAGATCGCCCTGACGAGGCAGCAGAGGAACACCCTCGCCATAGAAGGCTTTGAAGACCACAAAATCCACTCGTCACTGACAACGAGATCAAGAACGAACAGAGTATTGGAGATGACAGACCTTGCAAAAGAACAAACCGAAAGAAGAGGTCGAAATCACCATGAAGAGAGCCAACTGACTGTTTCCCTTGATAAACACACCAACTGCCACCAAGATCTGAAGGGAACAACATATCTGACCAAACTCTCACTAGTCCTTCGTCAACGCTGGTTCGAACGCATCGACAAGGTAGAAAGAGGCCAATGAGATCTTATTCCAGTGTGTCGTTGTCGCCGCCACCTCGTCGATGATACCAGAAACCAAACCCTAAAAAAACAAAGAACAAAACAAAACTAAAAACTATAGAAAGATCGGGTACCTACTCCTCTTGCTACCGGTGAGGCCGCCGGATGGAAGAGGAGGAGGACCGAGGCGTTCCTGGGAAGGGCGGCGGCGGTAGCTTTTCTGGTGTCGCAAGCGAGCGGAGGGTGCAACGCCGAGACGAACGGTAATTACATTACATACTAGACTTCACCAACTATTGATGATCTATCACAAAGGCTTTTTCTTTACTGCCAAAAACAACATCGGCGACAGAGGACTTTCCCGCATTTCACGATAAAACAAACAAACAAAAAAGTTGATCCGGTGCGCTAGGCTAAGCCCAAGAAAATCAAAGCAGCAAACTCCAGTGCGCTAACACTGCCGGCCCCGCAGATGGGCCGGGCCATCTTGCAACAGTTACATCACACTGCGCCATGGCCACATTGGCATCAGGAATTACATCGCATTTCAGCAGAGTACTGAGTTAAAAAAAGAAAAAGAAAAAGAAAAAAAAACAGAGCACCGACCGAGAAACATAAGCTGAGAAAAGAGAGAGAGAGAGGTTACAGAAGTTTTCATACTTGAAATTATAATTAGCAAATGTGCTTTAAAACTCCCCAAACTGCACAAATGTGTCCAAGAATATGCACATTGTTCCACTTTTTAGGGCTTGCTTGGTTCGCGACCAAAATTTGGCAAGTCAAAGTTAGGTAAAAAAATTGTCATAGATTTAACAAGGCAAATGTAAGAAGTTGAGAAGTTTTGCTAGCAAACCAAATAATAGTCAAAATTATGACTTGCCAAATCTTTGGCTTACATATTTTGGAAGTTAACCAATCATGCCCTTAGTCTTATGTGCATCAACAGGTGTCATGAAATTAGAGATTCATTTTCACAATTTTCTAACTGCTATCGAGTTAACGTGCAGTGTTCAACTTACTAATGAATTCGTTTGATTCGATATCAATCTATGACGAGTATTTATGTAATTTTTTCACAAATCCTGTCCATGAAGCTATCTGAATGAGTATATCAGTTCAAGAGCTGAATGAACATCTTTAACTAATATACTTTGACAATTTAAGATAACCTTGTAAACTTATATCATACAACAGCAGCAGGCTGAGTGTCTAAGAGTTATTTTAAGACCAACGTAAGACATTTTATTAGATAATGAGACAATATCCCACCAAAGATGTATGCAGTCACTTATTACAAAGTTGATAAAACAGACAATATTCGCCACAATCATAAAAGGTGATTCAAAATCTGGACTTTCGCATCCGTTGTTGTTTCCACCGTACGTGCCTAACACAGTAACACCTGTTATGTCCCTCTTCGTTTTGCAACAAGCCAGAAGCAGATTCAAGTGGGTAGCTCTGAACATTACCTGCATAAAACAATTTTTGTTTTTCTTGACAGAGAGATAATGGGCCAAAGATGGACTTTATTCCTGTAAGAACGCTTCATTTTATTTGCAGATCTCAGCAGCAAAATGTTCTATTTGTCCAATGTTTGAAACAAAGGAACACCAAATTTGATCGGGTAATGAACTAGTGATCCTACCTGGTACAGCTCAAAGATGCATTAACCAGTACACAAGTTCAATCGTTAGCTCACTACAATGGTTCGGTGCATCACTACTGTCAACTAATTAAACTGAAACAGCTGGTTATCTGTGACAGTTTGCAAGGCGTCAGAACATTGGCCCCAGAGCGTGTCGATGTGCTGTAATGTGGTTGATACAGTATAGCTGAAAGAGAGTTGAACACAACACAGTAAGCTGTTCAGACTACCAGTGCCAACTGACACACACAAGTGTACATTCGAATTGCTGCCAAGAGTAGCTACATACCTGCATGAAGGACGAGTGGATTGGATGGACCAAAATTTGTTCAAGAACGGTAATTGTCCGTTGCTGCCTCTGTGGCTACATCACCAGGAGCAGAGCCTGCAATTAGGAGAGAGATTGCTGATTGGTACTAGTTGCCAAACTGCATGCGTGACCGGTCGTGAGAATGGTACATGGCACCAAAACCAACTGCTCGGCGTCTTCTCCTACCCCTGCTGCAGAGGCAGCAGCAGTGGAGGCGTCAACTTCGCCTATTGCCGCAGAAGTATATGATGTGCAAGCTGGAGTAAGAAACATAAGAAGCAAAGTACTAAATAAGAAACACAGCACTGAATAACTTGAACTCTCCGCGCCATACTGACTCAGTAGTTCTAAGTACCTGACATAAGAAACATTTCAAGTCTAACACAGGACATCCAAATGTACAGCTACATCGAAAGCAGTTTAAGTTTAGAAGCCATTACAGAAGCATACATAATGCTAAACTAGAAAGCAACATAGTTCTTGGAGCCTGTAAATTGTTGCGTCGTTACATCTCAGTACGAAACCAGGCCTTTGTTTCCATCAGGGCTGCTGGACCTTGAGCTACTGCTACGCCTGCGGTTGTATTTTGAGCTCTCCCTCTTGACTGGGGCAGCATCAGGAGATCTGGACCTGTTGGCAAGGGGGCTGTGGTCAGGATCGCCTCCACCATGACCTGATCGAGGCCTATCATTCACATCGCGTCTCGGTTCTGCAGGGCTGCGGCTACGTCTTGGGCTGGGGCGGCGATACCCTCCACGGTCATGACGCCTCCCTGGGCTGCGTGACCTGCTCCTGCTTCGGCCCCTTCTTGGGTACCTATAGTCATGTGCATTAGTTAACAATTTTGGGCCACTCCTAAAGTAGCATGGCTTTGCACAAAATGATGGTAGGAAAGGTAGAGAGCAAATTGAAAGGAAAACAGTTTTATTTTTATCATGCCAATGGAAAAGGTGTTTGATCTATAAGCAGTGCATGGTTATCTGGTGCTTGCACATGTAATAATCAACATAATACCTGAAGATCAAAATTAATCATACAATCAAGTGTTCAGTATCCACAATACCAACAAACTTGGGGATTTAATCAAACCAGGTAAACTATGAAGGGGATGAACACAACATACTATTTTGTTACCAGGCACAAATGTCCTTCACAGTTTCCATCATAAGGGGGAGAGAGAGAGAAGTTGAGAAAGAGAGACAGTTAAAGCTTACAGTAATGACAGGTTTATCTAGATTGGATATGATAAAACATTTAATATCATGTTCTTTACTTGTTGGTGCTATTCTTTTTACCCATGAGTAATAATAGTTTGAATAATTTAAGCATTACAACCAATTAGCAATGGCTTCCAACTGACTATTTACAATGAGCAGATTGGTTCCTAGAAACAAACTCATACTATTATACTCTATGGCATTAAACAATGCATAAATAAGGATAAAATAATAGTTGGGAAGAAACAGATTGTTTCTCTCAAGTTTAATGAGATTAGTAAAGCCCTGCAAGAATCTCACTTCAACGCATAAGAAATACCAACCTGGAAGGGCTATTGGCTCTTGGCGAGCCACGGTATCTCCTTACTGGCGAGCGTCTACTGTAAGGACCATTTCTTCCATACCTGAACATGATGAGAAATCAGTATAAATGCCAAATCTGTCAGAGTTTGATAAATAGTCTAATTTCAAATTTACCTATTGAAATTGTTCCATCTATCATCTCTCCCTCCATCGTAGCGGGGTCGAACAGGGGGGCGCTCAGGAGATGGCGTCCTGTATCGGCGTGCATACCCATACTTCTGAGTAAAACCACGTCCTTTCCTGATTCGTTGAGGCTGCCCATTGTCTGCAGAACCCACAGCTAAATCTTTACTATTTGTGGACACAGGTTCATTGCTTGGCAGGTGCCTTTCTGTACCAGTTCTAGACATGTCAGCCTCTGCATTATCACCACCAATGTTGCCATCTCCATTTACTGGTTTCGGTAAATTTACATCAACCTGGATGGGATTGATCCTGGAACTTGCACCTGGATCATTCCTGTGTTTAGAAAAAAAAGGGTGTGCATTAGCCACTAAAAATAACTAGTCGCCTCAAAGTTGAAAGTACAAACTTTGCTCTGTCAATGGTAGTAATAGGAATCCAAAAGGAACATGTGGTTGATAAATCATCAAAACATGAAATAGGCATACCTATCTTCTGAATTGTAATTTCCATATCTGTCATCAGCCCTGTTGTCATCTTTGTTTGAGGGTTTACTCCCATCAGGTGATTGTGATCGGTTGACGGTAGTAACTGTTTGTTTACCTTTGTCTACATCTTGAAAAGATATTCCTTGTTCTGAATTTGTCATTTTGGTACTCTCTTTATCTGCTAGAGGGGGGGAAATGATTACTACTTCAAAATTGAAGACAAAAAAGTGAGGCAAAGTGATCTCAGAATACTAAAAACTTATAAATTATACATAATGTAAAAACTATAAATAAATATAATATATGAAACTTCAAGCTATTAGTAGATATTGTAGTATATGCCATAGTAAGTTACAAACAGTTGCTTTCAGATAGAAAAAAAAAAGAAAGATGATTTGGCATTCATGTGAACGTGCTCCATTTCACTTATGACTGGTATCAAAAGAAAAATATAAAGTTTGTTTAGTGAAAAACACATCACCATCGATAAACAGTGAAGATTAATAATAACATAAATAAGGCACTAGGGCAGTCAGAACTTTTTTTTTAATTGATGCTAGAAAGGTATTACAATGTAATAAACCAAACAGCAGCAGAAAAAAAATCCAACACAGCATTCCTTTTTTAGCGTTGGAGAACTGGTTTTAGCAGACCAGAAATATATGCACTCAAACTGAAGTCCACTAGGATATGTTGATAGCAAATATATATAACACACATTAAATCTAATGGAATTAGATTACTACCTTTCGGCAAGGAACGCTTGGTACGATGGCTGCCATTTTCACTGTCAGAACTGTTGTTATCTGTCTTAGAGCTTACTGAATCATCACTTGAACTCCCATAGCTCCTAAAGATAAACCACACCAAAAAGGAGGAATTTCAGCAAGAAGTCATCCCATGCTAAGTAAGTAGCGACATTATGCAGGTTATTAACATTGTACCGTTTAGATCGCCTTTTGGATCCTCTACTCTTTCTCTTACTCCTTGTATGTTTACCCTTCCTCTTTGTGGGCTTGCGCTTATTCTTCTTAGATCCTTTTCTTCTCTTACGCCTATGATCACTGGACGAGCTAGTATCCATTGATGAGTGTGATTCTGAATCAGAGCCACTATCTGAAGAATAGGACAATGAGTCTGAAGTATCTGAGCTATATGAATCAGACGAATAGTGTTTCCTCTTCTTCGTTGCTTATAATCGCCAGATGCTTTTTTTAATTTGGCTCTCCCTTCAGCATTGGAGTTACCATCTGCCGTTTTTAGTTTTTTTTCTGCAAAAAAAGTGGTAATGAGGAAGATAAGCAACAAAAACATACAATATTTGCAGTTGTACATTGTATTCGTCTATTTATACCTTTCTCTCCCTTTAGCAGATCTTGAGAATTTGTGTTGGAAACTTCACCACAGTCTACAATTTTCACTTGACGAGAAGGATTTCCACTTTCACCACAAACTGCTTCAAGCTTTTTAAGCAAAGCTATTCCACTGACCACCTTCCCAAAGACCACATGTTTGCTACAAATATTACAATTTGAAATTCATTTTTGGTGAACCATGGAGAATAGGCAGGAAATGTAAGACAAGGACATCGCAGGTAGTTAGGAACTAATGACATTTTCCTCAAAAAGAATAGGAACTAATGACATCGAATACTATCAACGGAAGGACAGTACACTATCTAGGGGCGTGGCATGTTGTAAACGTGTATTTCTAAAACTTTCTATTTAATGCAATGATACTCAGCTCTCCGGTGCATTTGAAAAAAGGTAAATACAATACATGATCCAGGTTGGTTGTCATCATCACTTACTTTAAATAATTACTTGATGTCATTAATAAATTTTCTGACAAAATATTAGTTTTTTGTTTTTTTCCACCACGGCAAAGCCGAATTTCATTATTTGAAAGCAACGAAATTACAAAGTTTGAAACTAAGACCAGCAAGCAAAATGCACCGCAAAAAGCCACATTGATATTAGTTTTTTTGTTGTGGTTAGAGAACTGAGAATCTAATAAAGCCAAGTGACTGAAGAACAAGAAGCAATACCCATCAAGATGAGGTAGAGCCTTGAATGTAATAAAAAACTGTGACCCATTGCTGTCTGGTCCAGAATTTGCCATGGACAGGACACCAGGCTGATCGTGCAGTAGTCTGAAGTTTTCATCTGTAAAACACATGATGGAATGAAAGAAAACTTCAGCAAAAGCTTAAAAGGACAGTCACTGATAGCTAACAAACAAATTGTGACTGACACAATTTCAATGTAGCTAGTAACCTGGAAATTTTCCACCATAAATGCTCTCTCCACCACGTCCTGGAAATAGCATGCAACGTTGAGCTTATAAAGTACACTACAGCAAGAAGTCAGTTGAAAGAAGCCTGGGCTAATGAAGCAATACCATCTCCTCTTGAAAAATCACCACCCTGCAGGAAGGAAATTTGACAAGTTTAGTTTGAATTGAACGAAAAAGATGTCAAAGTGCAAAGCTGCATGAATAGAAGAAGGTCAATTGCATGCATATTCCATATAGCTCAGTATTTCAATCCCGCAAAACATTTCAATGTACTATATCTAGCTAAGTAATACGCAGCAGCCAGATCAGTAGCAATCTTTAAATACCTGAGCAACAAACCCTTTAACTATGCGATGGATATTCGTTCCCTTATAATAGAGTGGTTTCTGTGTAGATGCTCCAAGGCCTCTTTCACCTACGTGTTGGGGAGAGGTCAAGACTTAGAACTCGAACGTATGCTATAGGAACAACTCAACACAGGCGCGCGCACACTGCTGTTGCACAGAATGGAACCAGAATTACCAGTACAGAGTGCTCTGAAGTTCTCTGCGGTCTTTGGAACTACATTTGCGAATAGCTGCAAAACAATCACCATAAGTTAATATGGTGCATGTCACCATGTCCTCCGTAGCTGAAAATAGTGAGCCATTATGCAAACAAAACAAAAAAAAAAGACCAAGCATGCTGCTTCAAGCTTCACAACCTCGAATGTAATCCTCTCGGCGCTGCCCCCACCGATTGATATGTCCATGAAAACGTGGGGGTTCTTAACCTTCGGCATGGTTGCCCACCTGCAGGTGTGACAAAACGAGAAATCTTTAGCAACATCCCTCAAGCGAGGCGTGGACTATCTAGCACACATGAGAATCCCAAACCACCGCTTCGTCTACTGGCGGATTTACGTCACCAGGTAGGAGCTAATGAAATAAAGTGACTGGTATCAGTAGCACTCCCACAACATTAGGGTACGAGGGCTACAGTGCGCTCGATCTCGAACCCGAGCCCTAACGAATGGAATCGAAACAGAGATGAATCGGATTGGTGCTATGCAAGAGTAGCGAACAAATCCAGCCGGAACTATCCGGATGGATTGGAAACTGTACAGAGAAGCAAAAATAAAGGTTGGGTTTAGGCATGGATTTGGTCTCGAGCGACCCAAGCGAGATGGGAAGAGCTTACCGGCGAGTCGGGATGGATCTTCGCCCGGCGCCGTTGTAGGAGGCGGCAGGAGGACCGATGAGCCGCGCCGGCGGCTACAGGAGGGGAGCGAAGAGGTGGGCAGAGGGTGAGGTGGGGGCGCGCTTCGGCGGCGCGTGAAGTGCAGCTGTGCAGGTGCGGGCGAAGAGGGAGGAGGCCAGGGTTCCACCGAGTGGTGACGGTGTGCATGTGCGCTCTGTTGGGCCGACCATGCAACCGTGGGCCGTGGCCGTAGACAACTCCGGCCTGGCCTATCTGCCTTTCTATTTTTATTTTTTAATTAATTTATTATTCTTTTGCTCAAAAACAGTTAACTTATTATTCTTTGCTCAAATAAATTAATTTATTATTCTTCCATACTGTTTGATTTGCCTTGCTAGTTTTGTGCGGAAATATCTGATCCAAAATCTGAACCTAGCCGACAAGTTCGTGATGAGTTATCAACTCATTGCTTAGCTAGATGAAACCATTATGTGTACAAAGTGTTCCTACATGTTAATAGCTGAAAATTTCTAGGGCGTAAGTGATTCCTTGAGAAATGATAGGCGAGTTGATCTTTTTCATTTTGGACCATTACCTTCTTATCACGAGTAGTGCCCCTTTCGAACCCGTTCCCCTCTCTAACCCCGGGAAGACCATTACCTTACGTTGGACTTAACACATGTCTCCTCTTCCAAAGTGTTCCTACACCCTTTCTAGAAAAAGCCTTTATCACTTAATCTGTGCCTCTCTTTTTTATCATGGATTCTATAAGCTTGTCATCTTCTTCTATAAACCATCAGTTTAACTCTAAGTTTGTTGCTTTCTTTGCAAGTGTTCCATCCATTTTTTTTACTTCCATGCATACTGAAACCTTCTTGCCAGTGTGCCTTTGTGAGGATCCCCCTAACTGATCGGTCCTCGTCACAACACTTCCAACCCTTTCTAAGAGATATCACACTTTTGTTTCCTTGTAATTTCATAACACACCTAAACTTGCTAGTTTTGGTACTCCTACGTTCCAACTACTTGTCCTCTCTTATGTGGTCAAATCAATTTATCACAAATCCTGATCAAGTAGGCATGGTTCATCAAAGCAATCCAACTCTTGCATTCTAGGTCTCAAATACTTCTTAAATCATTTTCTTTAAGGAGCATTCATAGACCCTAAGAACCATTTTGCCTTGTCAGGAGTTGCGCGCAACCATTCCATGTCTAAGTGCTTGTACGTCCCTCTCAAGCACAAATCTACGCCATCCAACTTATATGTGTTTGGTCTTATGTATATATATATATATATGGGCACCACATCTTCTCTTATTTGTGTACACAATCCCCACCATATAAACCAAGATCATGTCTTAGTAAATCCTTACAATACCTCATATATGTGATAGTCTTCTCTAGTTAGTTGAACCATCTTATGACCCAGCTATCTCCGACTTTATCTCAAATATCTTGTTAACACAAAAATCCAATCAAAGAATCTGGCCTGAACAAAATCTTCTAGTGTTGTCAGACAATATGACAAACCAGTCAAAGTCTTCTCAACCTCAACTAAGATAGGTCAACACCAGTCAGACGACCAGACTCACTTCCTTCCCTTCCCTCCATTTTCACGCTCGCAACTATTGCAGAGGCCAACGCTAGAGAGGACGAGTGTGTGGGGAAGATGGTGCACTGTTGGGTCGCCCCATTCCGGCGCACAAGTGCAGCCGCATGCGGCACCATCGAGCGGCCCCTAGGACTATGCCCTTAATCGAAGGCACATGCACACATAGAGAAGGCAAGGTGGCGATGTGGCTCCCTGATGTGGTCGGTAGCAAGCTTGTGCAGAGCCATCAGGGCCAAGAATGAGTTCATCGTCGGTAAGTGAAAACCACCTTATCTTTTATCTTAGGGTTAGGGATTTGACTGAGATTGGGGGTTTTGATTTCTAGGGTTTTGAATTTAGGGGAAGCAGAGGTTTAGGGTTTTGTAATTGATTGACTAACCTCCTTCTAAGTGCTTAACTGAAGCCATAGTCATCTAATCCGGTATATAAGCTTTGAAATCGAAGAACCAAGACCAATTTCTAGGGTTCTAATTAATAACAGCTAACCTAGCCGGCCTTGGTACCAAATGAAAGAACTTAATGACTAACTATGCCTAGCTCATCATTAATATTAGAACACCTAGACTAAGGGGATTAGAGGATCTTGGGTTCAAACCTTTGTCTGTAGAAGAATAGCTTGATAGCCTTGCTGATGTCCCATTCATGGTTGAGGTAAGCATGGAGAAGAAGTCAAAGTGGACTCGTGGTATGCAGTGCTTGTGGTTGATGCTCCACATGTGGTCGTCGGTGTATGGCGGCGGCGGTCTTCCCATCACTATTAGCACCTTCTAAATTGGGTTAGGATTAGGAGTGTCAGTGTGAGGCTAGCTCACGAGAAACATTATTAGTTTCTGTTATGGGCCGAACTTCTCTTTTTATTTTAGTGCTGCGCAATGGGGGACGCAACCATGGGTCGGTTGGTCACCCCTCAAGGCGCATGAGTAGGCTCAGACTCGGTCACTTGACCTTGTCACGAGAGATCAACCCAACAAAAAGATTGTTTTGAATGACGGCAGTGATACAAGTGGGCTAGATTGGGCCGACCTTCAGCCTAAATTTGTTTCTACTGACCAAATAGCGGATCCTGTTGAAGTCTAAAATCATTCGCCTTCTCATTGGAAGCATTAATTCTTCGAAAATTGGAAACTATTTTTACTTGAATTTTGTAATATGCTCAGCATGACTTGACCTTAAATTTTATGGACTAGTAGTGGTTCTTCTCGCATCTATATATGAGCGATTCTATTGTCTTGTAGCCTAAATTGAGTAGTGTTTCCAGAATTATTATATATATTGCTATGGTCTCGTGAACCAATAAAGAATAATAATTTAACAAACTTATTAACATAGTTATATGCATATCATGCATGATTCTAGTTCTAGATCTAGACATCCGTATACTTCTCTCTCTCTCTCCACCGGCCAGGCACCAGAATGATCTGGCTAGTAGCTAGCTCTCGCTGATCACCAGCTAGGAGTATGATAATTAAGGTCATGTGTAGGATGCGGTTTCTTAGGGTTGATCATCATGCGTTTGGTACCCAAGTCTTGCATATGAATGTCGTGGCCGCCTAGCTCACCTCTTCCATATCGTTCAGCCATGTCAGGCACATGCATGCAGCTCTCTAATTTCAAACCGTGAGCAAGACATAGGCAAGTTGTCATCTTCTTTCTCTCACAAGTCACAACGTAACGCTGCGTCACTTTCTTGTAGCCTGGAAGTTGAAAAACAAGGACGATATATATCTTTGATTAACGACCTCACATGCATCATATCCCCAGGCAAATGTCGTTATATCTTCAGTATAAATCTCTACATGCATGTGTGAGAAATTAATTAATGTTCAGATTATCAGCCTGTTCGTTTCGACTTATTCGCTCGTATCTGGTTTATAATCCATGGCTTGAACAGTGTTTTTCTCTCACACCAAACCAGCCAGCAGTACTTTCAGCCATGGCTTATAAGCCAATTCAGCCGAAACGAACAGGTTGTATGTGCGGGCAGTCTAATAGTGTATGACTAATATAGTCTCACCATCTATCTAGGGATGAATTGTTGGTTATGAAGAAAACGACTTAGATCGATGGATTACCCAAGGGAAGCATAGGTTTAGGGTTGTAATTGATCGATTACCCTTGTAAGGAAAATGGACCCTAGGCACATTTACTTTGGATTTTGGTGTTTGATGACCAACACAACTAAATTAGACTAATGAATTTGCAAGTGATTGTTTTATAGTCCAACAGGGTGCAAGACGTGACTTGGATGAAGACGACACGATGATCCGATGATCAACACCATAAGCAAGACCCTAGAACCACTAGAGAAGATCCAAGATATCCAGCATAGTCCAAAGCACGAAGATAGGAACCAAGCCGGACGCAAGATCGTTAAGAAACGAGCTACACAGAGGTGACCGGACGCGGCCCTTATAGCGACCGGACGCGTCCGATCAAGATGCTCGGCAACAGCGGCGTCAGCAGCAGCGACCGGACGTTGAGGACTAAAAGTGACCGGACGCGATGATGGCACTATTCATCATCCCGGCAACACATTCAGCACTGACCGGACGCTGACTGGTGATCGACCGGACGCAGGAACTGCAGCGTTCGATCGAGTCCAGAGAGGTTCCAGAGCGGCGCTAGCGCTACCGGACGCGTCCGATCAACAGTGGCCAGACTCGACAGTGTGTCTGATCAACGCGCGCGCTCTAACGGTCAGGACTTCCGGACACGTCCGACCAGGACGACAGCAGTGTCCGGCCAGTAGCGGAAAAGTGGGTTTCGTCCCCAACGGCTACTTTCTCAGTGGGGCTTATAAATAGACCCTCCAACCGGCCATTTGGCTAGAGTGGAGCTGAGGAAACATACCAAGGGTGTTGATACACCATTTTAGTGATCTCTACTTGCATAGTACTTAGTGATTCATTAGATGATTAGCGTAGGTGCTTTGCGAAGTGCTTAGGTTGATTAGACCACCGCTTATGCGTTTGCTCTAGGTTTAGGCCTAG